TCTCCACTCTCTTCTGTGTTACCTGAAGTGTAGCGCTGAAGTCCCGTGGGATTTCACTTGTTGGAGGGAAACGCACAAAGAAGAATTTGTTGCAGGAAGTGTGAAAACCCTAACCCTAACCCCTTTCCTGTACTTAGATATGCTATATGCTAAGCTAATCTATGCAACCACATTTTAAAGATTGAATGAAGATTTTAATCATAATAATAATAATTATTCATAAAAAAATAATGATATCATTTGGTATCAAAAACTGGTCTTGTTTAGAGATTTTAATAAGAACCACATTTCCCCCGTTATTGTCAATAAATACTGGAAACATAAGCCTGTCTCTCAAATCAGCCTCGCCCTTAATTATCATGACTTTAACCCTTAATATAATCTAAAGTGAGTTGTACAGTTGTCACGAACAGGAAATTATCTCTAGAGACCAAAAGGCTGTAAAGTTTTAATATAAGGCCTTATGGAGACTGACTGCTGGAGCCAGTAGTGCTTTATTACACTGTATTATATTGTATTATACTGTATTATATTGTACTGTATTATATTATACTGTATTATATTGTACTGTATTATATTATACTGTATTATATTATAACACAGTGTTCACAGCTGCCCTGAATTAAAGATCCACTCTGTGTGAAAGTAACAAACTGAAGACGAGCAGGTTGAACGGACAATTTACTTTTCCCAGAATCAAACATCATAAATGTATTTTTTCTCTGTATGCAGTTTGCTCAGTTAATGAACTTCTATGAATTCAACTGGGAACTTCTGTTTGATGTTAGTGAAATAAATTTACATTTACATATTTATACACACTAATCATACCATAAACCAAACTGCTGTGTTATCTCCAGCAGCTCCTTAATAATCCCCTGCAGACACATGTACATGTTTCAACACATATAAAAATACTCTTTAATATCAGACAGAAATTTGTACTCCAGGCAAAGTTCAATTACCTTGTTAAAATTTCTATAATAACATCTCCTCCTTCTCCCTCATTAAAAAAATCCAGAATATATGAATATGCAAATAGCTGAGGGAAGCTACTCTTTATCGGAGGTGGAGAATTAACCAGATTTGCCCACAGAAGAATTCCTCCTTTCAGTTACTTCTGTTCTACTACAGGGTCATTGTTGTTCAGCAGCTTTAAGTTTCTCTGAGAGACCTAAACAAAAGTCAACATGTGAGCGACTTTAACGAGATTCTTAGTTTCTGAAGTTTTTCTCTTTGGATGCGCTGCAGTCTGTGTGTCTGCTAATGGCCGTTCACACCAAACATGAAGCAAAATGTTCGCCTTTGTTTTCCTCGTGGGATCAGTTCTGTTTACTTGCCCTTTATTCTTGCTTACTACGGCGGTTTGAGCCTAAAATAAACTGTTTCTGTGATTTAATGTCAATAAACAGATCAAAATGCTGCTGAAATAACTTCATCATGATGCTGTCATTCTGCAAGACGACGAGCAAACAACTGTTCAAATGCTTGTTTTCTGAATGGAGTTTGGTTGATCAGGACTATGTTAACTTACTGAAAGCTGGAATCAGTAACAGACACATATTTTCCTTCTTCCTTTTCTCCTTTTTTGTCACTCAGAGTTGAATATTTATAAGTCGTGAATATGCAAATGGTGCATTTCTGTGTATTTGTGTCACACAAAGTGAATTTGTCTTTATTTGTGTTGCATTGACTTTAGTGTTAAATCAAATCGAGTCCCTCAAAGTTTAATATTTCCGACCTGCTCAAATATGTGAAAGATCGAAAGAAGGAAAGATTTCAGTATTTGTGTCTCCAGGAATGAATTAATGTCTGTTTGTGTGTTTGCTCTGACTGTGGCTGTAATCTCATCACACAACATAATTCACATCTCAAGCAAACGGGGAACATTTTGCATATTCTCATTACATTGACCGAATTTGAATCTTTGCATTGACTTTGTATGTAATCTCTTGGTGTGAACCATCAGACCTCAGACAATAAAGTTGTTCCATAACTGACATGAGCTGCTGGAGTTTTTGCCTCTTTAGACAGTTTTTTCTCAGTGCACTTTGGAGGAAGGTGAGGTTGTACCAGAAACCTCTGTTCCACAGTGATGGATGGACAGACTGCTCATCAGGTTGGATCTGCTTCAGGCAGCTATGAGTGTGACTCTCGGTGGACGGCAGAAATATTCTACAATTCCCACAAATCAAGATATCCCTTAAATCCGACAACCTGACGCTCTTCCCACCCGCGAGGAATGTGTGCCGACAGGTTGCATTCGTTCTGGACGGCTGCTTTTAGATTGGTTGTAATGTTGAACTATGAAACATTAAGGCCCCGAGTGCATAACGATGTATCATTAAAACACAAACTTCAGATTTAATGAGCACGCTGCACGCAGGCAGCTGGGGCTCATCAGACGATCTGTGCAAAAAAAACATCTAACAAATGAATCCGAGGGTAAAGTTTTCAGATGAAGTCTTTTTTTTTTCTTTTTCCAGCATGTGAGTGTGTAAATCTTCCTACAGGGCGGACGTGTGTGTGTCGTCCTTGAATGTTGCTGCTTTTCATTCAGCACAGCTGCTGCTCTACAGGGCGAACTGCGGAGGTCTAATGAGCTAATGCAGTGGTGGCAAAAGCATGATGAAATGGTGGTAATGTGGTCACCAGTGGAGGAGAAAGTGTGAAAACTTTCTGCTCATTGTTTTGGTTTTCCAGCCTGCAGATTTAATTCTAATGAAACATTTTTCCAGCAGCAGCAGGCAGCTGTTTGCATCAAACACGCTCTGATAAACTCACTGTACAAGTACAAGACCCACTCAGAGCCAAACTCAGAGCCAGATATTTCTCTCAGGGGATGGTGGAGACAAGTGCCTGGGACGGACGTTTTTTGGGATGTCCGGGGATTTGCACAACAGTGTCGGGCTCACTAACACAATGAGCTGGTATCAAGTGGAAGACTATTTGTTTTAACGGCTGTGTGTGCGAGGCAGCTAGGACTCCACAGGTAAACAGGAAGAGGGCAGGCAAAGGGTTCAGAGTCAATGCCTAACTGACACTACCAAACAGAGCCATTTATGTTCCTCAGGAGTGTCACATTGCTTCGGTTTACCTGGGTCAGAAATATTTATTTTCATGGCTGTGTGTGAAGCAGCAAAGAAAAGGACCAAAATGCAGACACCCAGGACTCCACAGGTAAACAGCAAGTGGAGTATTAGGGCCAGACTAAGAGAAAAATATT